CACTGTGTCATAGTGCATAAGAATTTCAGATAAAGGTTTGTCAATATGTTAGGCATACCATGTATTATTTGTTCAGATATGTATTAATATCCATATAACTAATACTTTTGTAAGCTTTCACATCAGTTGTTATAAAAAAGTTGTAACACAAATAGCTTACATAAATAGTGTTTCAACCACCACTGTGTTTGTTGTATCCCAGCTAGCCTCATGAATCTTGTATTGAGTGAAATGTATCATTGTCAATGGATATGGTGGACATAGTGTGGTTGAAATACTATTATACATTCTTATTCTTCTTGAAAAACCCTAAGAAACTGAATAAAGAATGTAGTTTTAAAAAATAAGCCTAATATTAAAGTCTTAAGACAAGTACAATTAATTATAATTATGCTTTGATAGCTCAGAAAAGGTGTTCACACCATAATAATCATCATACTTTCTATACCAATGATAAAAAGTATTAATTTACTTATTAACCAAGATTGACTCTTGGGCTTTATGTTATCTTCTACAAAGTGTTATTGAAATAGTTTTTGCTATATTCAAAATTAAATAAGTATAACAATGTCTATTCCCATTGTATTTCCTTTGATCAATGTTTTGTCTTTTTAGAACTTATACTTTCATGAAAACAAAAGGGATGGGGATAAAAAATGGGCAACAACTAACGCCAAACGACAAGAACTCCAGTTTACTGGACTGAAGAATCCTGCATAAAACTCCATTTTTTACAGTTTCAAAATTATCCATGTCAGGATGATACTGTAAACAACTTGCAGCAATGAAGTCAGTGTAAAAATTATATATACACACAAACACACATACACACCGCTAATTCAGAAAAAACCACAAAAAAAAAACCTTTTGAATGCTTTCATTTCAGACACATTTTATGCCTAATGATGTTACTGAATGGTTCTTTACCTTGTAGGATTACGTAATTCATTACCAAAAGACACGCATTACACAAACAGAGAGAATTTGAAAAAAAAAAATGTTGATAAACTTTTCCTATTTCCATTTATTTCAGTCTTTTGGTATATCTTTTCTAAATGCAATTGTGCTTCCTAAGATAAAATGATCAAATAATTTATTCAGTAAAATCTACTTATTTTCAGTAAAACAAAGGTTTTATTCAACTTACCATCATATTCTGGAAAATAATCCACAAGATGTGAATACAAGATTTTATCTGCTAACAAGTCCTTTTTATTTAGAAAAAGAATAAAGGAGGTATTTTGAAACCATGGATACTGAATAATCGTCTTGAATAATGCTTTACTTTCTTCCATACGATTCTGTAAACAAAGAAAAATATACATTAAAAAAAATCACGATAATAGATTAAGTAATGTAAAACTACAGCACAATAAGTCCTTGAATATTTATTTAAAAATTGTAAATACATATCAGTTAATTCATTCAAGTAATACATTAATAACTATTCTACAGTAAAAGGAAAAAGAGTGAAAAATTTGGCAACTATTAACACAAATGAACCATTTTTATTTTCTCTAGTTTTCACCAAAACTTACCAAATATGAATAAAAGCAGACAATAGATGTGTTAAGTGGTTATCAACATTTCATTAGTTATAGTGCCAGCACCTAAAACTGCATATCTGTGCTAAAGTATTAATTCATTTTACATATTAGAAGTTGAAAACAAGAAACATACCAAAGCCCCTTTTGAGGTAAACTGCACCTACTGTAAAGATGCAGCTGAATAAACAGAAGTAAAACAAGTCCTTTGTTCTTCAGCAACACCTATATAAAACCTTACTTTACAAACTTCGTCATGTCTAGTAACATGCATTTCACAACATTTACTGCCCTGCTACAAGTGGCTTCAGGGTGTATTCCCTAGAATTTGTTATTACAAAGAACACCTACCACTCACCTGCTTAGTCCAAAGGAACACCTCAATTTATATGTGCAACTGAATCTACGGCTGTGAAAACTTTGTTTCTATGAACAATTAACTCAATCATTCATGTATGAGCATCAACTGCATTGAAGAATGTCATGAAAATAACTAATTAAAATTAGTGTTTATAACTATTTCAACTCCCCAAGTAACTGGAATATTGCCATTATGATTTCTCATTACTTTTAATTAATTCAAGGTTGTTCAGTTAAATTAATGTCACAATGATCGAAAATAATCAACTGATCAAAATTAGCATTTCCAATCATTACTATCTCAGGTTGTTCCAACTATCCAAGTCTCATGTGAGAATAGCTGATCAGTGAGCCTGACTATTAAATAAATTATCATTTCACTGATCCTTCAGGTCTACTGTTTGACATAGAATCAAAGACATAACCGTTTGAAGGATATACTGAGCAAACTATATATTTAGCTTATAACACTGTTTTGTTATACTTTCCAAGTAACATGTTTCCGGTAAATGTATATATTAGAAATAAATCTACTCAATGGATTACTAAGCTATAACCTTATTAAATGTATTTACATACAGACTATTTAGAATGGTGAATATTGTATTTGTTTTTCAAATAATTAATCCATCATTAAAATATATATATTTTTGTTTGTTTTGTGTTGGGGGGGGGGGGGCTTTTTGACTATGTTAATAGTTCAAGTTTCAAAAATTAATACCTGACTTGTAGGAACAATAAATTATCACCTGTAAACAAATTATTAATTATATGGATTTTTATTTTATTACTAACAAAAACTTTAAATGAAAGAGAGCAAGAATAACATAACATCCAGACAACAATGGACCATTTAGTCTTTTAAGGCTGTCCTTGCATACTCTTCCCTGAGAAAACTAATAATTTAGGCATGCTATATATTTTTTTCATAAAATCACTGATTCTATTATAAAACTTTTGTAAAGTGCCCATTTCTACTACCACTAACGGCAACTCAATCCATGAGCTTATAACATCCTGTTAGAGCAATATTATTATTCACTGTCTTACTTGGAGACTAGCTTGTTTTTTTCCAAATGTGACACCTGTGCCATCTTAGTTTTTTTTTCAAGATGGGTATTTATACATGACTCTTAAAATCAACAAAGTACCAAAACAAAGTTATAGATACCAAATGACATACAGAAAAATATATTGAGCTAATAATTTCAAGTAAGTCTCCAATAAAAAGAAATGTATATTAATCATATACATTAACCGTATCTATTTATTGCATAGTTTTTAGAAAAAACAATAACATAAAATTGATTTGGCTGAGATAGAGAAAGTGTGTGATTACTTTCAAAAAGTATAATTTTAACAGCCATGTTAAGAATTAAATTTGAAAGTTATGTTTCGAAAATTTTATATCTAAACATATAGTTACACTATATATTAATAAGGGATTAATTATTTGAAAAACGAATAAAATATCCATCATTAGGTATACATATAAAAATATGTTTACTAAAATTATGGTATTGAAATTCGTTAAGCAGATTTACCTTCGTGTATACATTCACAGGAAATGTGTGATTTTGAGTACAACACAAAATTGTAGGCAACATTCTCACAATATATATGCCCAGTTAGCTCACATACATCCTTTAAGTAAATGCCTTTTTAAAGTGCATATCAGACATTGTACGTCAAGCAGAGAAACAAGTTTTGCAAAGATATATTATCAACAGCATTTAAATGGGAGTTCATTTAAACACAGCAGGTGAGTGGAAGGTGTTGTTTAGAATAGCAACTTATAGTGTATACATCCTAAAGCTATGTGTAGCAGAGTGGTATATTATCAACGGTTTTAAAAAGATGCCAGTATGCAACGTTTTCCTTTCTTTTTTTGGGGTGGTGGTGCACGAGGGAGATTGTTGTTTTCAGAGATTAACACTAAAGCCAAATGTAATTTTGTGTGAAATCTGATAGTGTTTTGTACCAGTATAATATATATATATATATATATATATATATATATGTGTTTTTCCCAGTATGTCATACCTTTATTTTTTTTTCTTACTGATAAGCATACTGCCCCACTTTAACCACTGGTTACCAGACGAGATGAAATTTGGAAAGCACTTAAGCAAAATTTTATATAGGTGCCACTGAAAGATAAAGGACTATTATTTTCCTTTTCTTTCTTTCTACAACTGCATCTTTACAATAAATTTAGAGGGGCTTTGGTATGTTCCTTGTTCTCGTCCAGATATTCATATAACAGTTGATAACAATGTTTACTCTTATCCTATACTTTCTGAATATATACCACAAATAAAACTAATCACTTTAAATTAGTTAGTTTTTCTTTCCTATTATTGTACTAAACTAATTTACCTACTAAAATTTAACTTAAGGTAAGTATAAACAACTTATTACTTTGTACAATAGATA